TGCTGGTGGTGCTGGTGGTGGTGGTTCGTTCTTGTTTGTTCTTGTTGTCGTTGTTGCGGCCAGTGCCGTTGCGGCTGCTTCTCTGCTAGTCGTCGGAGTCGTAGAGTCGTAGGCAGTAGTAACTCAGTAGTAGTAGAAGCAGGAAGAGGAGGAGGCAGTAGATTTCAGTGGGGAGGGGGGGCTGGCATTCGTATTTTCGTGTTCTTTTCGCTCTCTGAAAATGAGGGCCTTCTAGTGGTGCTGGCTGCTAGAAGGGCTGTTCTTGGTAGTCGCATTGAGGAGCGCTTGTTCAGCACGACATTGTACTCGGCGCTAAGACCTAGTTTCACAGCCTGGTTAAACCCCTCAAAGCAGTCGCAGGTGTAACCTGTGGACCCGACGGCCGATGCCTTACTTCGGGACGCTTTTGGCGTTCCTATGCTTTCGCTTTGGTCGTTCCTTGGCGTGGGGGACAGTGCATGGCTTGGCGCTTTTTGTTCGCACCTCGCCGGATTCGGGACAGCTTTGCAGCTCATGAGCTTGAGGGCCATAAAGGGTGCCAGAGTCGAGAAGTTTGTGTAAACAAAATGAGAAGTAAGAGTACACTTCTAAATCTCTACTTACACAAACACACACACACATATATANNTATATATATACACACACACCCACATATGGGTGTATATGAGAATATGTGTATTGCGTGTATAGACATGTATGTACGTATATGTCTTTATATATCTATATATATATATGTGGGTGTGTGTGTGTTTACGTTTACATATGTAACTTTATGTGTGTATACACATATGTATGTGTATATGTATATGTACATGTATATGTACACGTATATGTATATGTATATGTGCGTAAGATGCTTACAATTCTAAGGTTGTTGTCCTGTGCAATGTTTTCCGGAGGCGAACCTACAAGATCAAGGAAGCTATTTTTCCGACTGCCTGGCCCCTACCAGGTGCTGCGTTTTTGGGGGTTCGGTTCCAGCCACAACTGAAAGGGCCGCACATTCCAATTTCACGGGATGGCAGGCCTTTTGGAACGGCAATGCCACCAAATCTCCGAGCCTCTGAACCATAAAACTTTCATCGCGGCCAAGTTCTTCCTGGGTTGATCTTCAATGCAGACCTCGTAGCTGCCCGGGCCCGGAAAACGCAGGGAGATACCCGAGAGTCGTAGCCATACCGTCACCCACATGTAGTCAACGTATGAAGAGGGATCGGGCTGCTTGGGAAAAGTTCGCCATAGCCCAGACTACCGAATAAGTGATTAATTAGGGTTTAGGGTTTAGGGAAGTGCATTGCAGCTGCCTCAGGTGCTCTTTGAGGCCCAAGGAGCGACTCTGAGGGTTTGGGGTTCCATGGGAAAGCTCGGGGGACGGAAAGAGGTTCCGGATGACGAAGACTGTGGGCAGTGGAGAGATCTGGCTCCAAGGAGCCAGGGGAGCCCCTGATTGATCACATCTCGAATCCTTCGGGGTTTAAAACACAGGCAAACTCCGAAACATCATAAAGCCGTCCCAGATCTTAGCTGCAACCCTGAAAACCAAGTGAAGCCTTTCTAGTTTGGGCCCTACTTTTTCTTCACCAGGTACGAGAGTTGGGGGACATGGCCTTGGCCAGCCACCTCCGTCACAGGTGACTTCCGATACCTTTGCAGGGCTTTGTCGGGTTTTTGGAGTTTTGAAGTGTCGGGCTCCAGAAACGACCCCCTGAGCCCTTCAGCGTCTTCAACTCTAAAGGTGCAGAAGTGGGTCCTTGTTAAAAGGGTCTCTAAGTCTTTTGAGCCCAGCTCCACGGCATGGGCGTTTGTGTTCCGTGAGAGAAATCAGGACCCAGGAGATCCAGCGGAGGAGTTGATTCAGGCTCTTAGAAGAGAGTTGATTCATCGGGGGTTTATATGCATCGTGTAAGAACTCATTCCCTCATCCCCACCGAGATAGTGAATGTTCTGAGTGGCGCGTGCCCTTGGCGAGCTGAACAGTGGAGTAACACTCACGAGTCACGAGTTTCGAGACTGCAAGTAATCATTGGCAGATCTTTAAGTTATGTTGCCCGTTGTTGTGGAATAATGGGCGTTGGGCTGGGTATGTTGCGTAGGACGTGGGGTGTGCAGGCTTTAAGCCGACGACCGAGCTCTTTTGGATTAGAGGCTTGGCAAACAGCTTCCCGGCAGCTGGAACACAGTACAGATTGTTCCACACCTCGACTTTTTGAAGCAGGATAGCCTTGTCAATGCTGCGCGTCTGCTGGGCTATTGGCGGAGAAGAGCTGGCTACATTCTCTGTTCGCGATGTGAGACACGTCCATCAGCCCGTCAAATATTTAAAGACACTCCTGCGCGAGCGGTGCAGCATTCCGGTTTCTATACAGAAGCTCCTCCATGACGGCCATCCATTGAACGACAGTCAACTCCAATGGCGCGATGAGCCCATGGAGTTGATGCTGGTGCTGGCATCTTGCCACGGTCAGCAAGATCAGGATCGGAAACTACTGGAAAAACTGAACGGGGAGCTGTCAGAATATGCCGTCAGGCATGGAAATGCTGAAGTTGTACGTCGGCTGCTCGATGCAGGTGCTGACAAGGACTGTCCAGCTTTTTCTTCGCTGCACTTCGCTGCCAGCGAAACTGTGCTGGTTCTCGCGGCTGGACTGGGCCACCTTGGAGTTGTGGAACTGCTGCTAGAAAGGGGCGCCCTCATCGATGGTCGGCGAAGAGACGGCAGGACGGCTCTAAGCTGCTCTGGTCTTAATCGGCATGTGGAGGTTTCACGCTTGCTGCTGCAAGCTGGTGCCCACCCTGACTTGTTTGACTCATACGGCATGACCGCGTTGCACGACGCAGCTCTAGAAGGTCATGTGGAGACAGTGGATTTGCTGGTCGAATATGGTGCCGAACTGGACTTGCAGACCTGGAACAGTCACGGGACACCTCTGATTGAGGCATGCCGGAGAGGCCGTGTCCGATCTGCACGTTCACTGCTTGCAGCTCGCGCGAGTCATGACTTGAGTGACTTCGGTGGCAAGACGGCCTTGCACCATGCGGCTCAGGAAGGGCATAAGAAGACAGTGGAATTGCTTTTGCAACATGGTGCTGATACGAACTGGCAGTCGTGCTGCGGAAGCACCGCGTTGATTGAGGCATGCCGGAAGCCGAATGGCGAGGAAACATTCGGCAGACGGCGGGAAAGACGTGTGTACTCGAATGATACCCCTTATGATTGGTCCATTGAGTGGCTCAGCGATGGCGATGACGATCGTACTGCTGACTTTCACTTGCGCCCTGACAGGGAACCTATGCATGAGAGATTTTGGCGGGGCAACATTCAGGCTGCGAAATTGCTTCTTGAAGCTCGTGCCAGACATGACTTGAGTGACTCCGGTGGCATGACGGCTTTGCACCACGCAGCTCAGAAGGGGCATGTCGAGGTTCTGACTCTGCTTTTACAGCATGGTGCAGCCACCGACTTTCAGTCCAGCAACGGAAGGACCCCTTTGATTGAGGCATGCCGGGAGGGCCATGTGCGAGCCGCACTTTTACTGCTTGAAGCTCGTGCCAGACAGGACTTGAGTGACTCCGGCGGGATGACGGCCTTGGACCACGCAGCTCAGCAAGGGCATACGGAGATATCGGAACTGCTCTCCACGACATGTCCTTGCCTGGATGAGCCTTGATGGAGGCATGTCGACAACTGACAGCCAGCCCTTTATGAGATATGTGGTACTAACGAGCTCATGCAACGGCGGCCAAAGGAAGATAAGTCCCGCTGCCCGCATGCATCGTCGTTGTAGTAGTCGTCGAAGCGCAGGAAGCATTACGTTGTCAATAAGCTGAATAGCTATGCTATGCTACACGAACGGGGACGAGGACGAGACCTACAAGAGAGCGTGTGCCAAGCCATTTTAAAATGCCTAGACTGCCTCATCCGTCCATGCGCATCAGGCTGAAGCTAAACGCGATGTTTTTTGGCCATGTGAATCGACCGCGGGTTTTTTGGGCTATTGCTTCGCAGCATCTCGGGCCAGGGATCGCGACATATGACTTTTTCGGCGCTGCTTCTTCCTTCCCTTCAGCCGTTAGAGGCTCGACGCATCTAGTTCCTTGGCATCTCCGTGGCCTTGAACAATCATCCATTGCATGTGGCCCGACAACAAGCCTCTATGACAGTGAAGGCTTGAACTCAAACTAACTCGACACCCAGAGCCCAAGATCCGCCAGAAGGCCCAAAGTCTCCCCGAAAGCAACACAAAAGGCCGGAGGAAAGCCCAGGAATCCGGAAGGAGACACCGCCACCACCCTCAAGGGGCCGAGGCCCGGAGATCGGTCAGCGGTCTGGTGTGTGCTGCGGCTTGCATTGGGTGTCTTTTGCATAGCCACCTGGGAGTAACATTGTTAATATGACGTATCTGTTGTGGTGCAGTTTATTTCTCTCTCTCTCTCTCTCTCTCTCTCTATCTCTCTACATATATTGAATGTACACAAACATGTACATATATATATATATGAACATGTCTGTCTATCTCTGTCCATCTATCTATCTATCCATCTATCTATCTATCTATCTAGTTTTATCTGTTCGTCCATTTATCTCTGCACAATATCACACAAACACACACGAACATGTGTATATGCTTACACACACGCGCACACACACACATATGTGTGTGTGTGTATGTATATATATATATGTATGTACATACATAAAATATATGAAATGTGGACAAAACATAGTCTGTAATACCGATGCGTGATATGTGCATATATATATATGGAGACATAGATATATATATATATATTATCTCTCTTTCTCTCTCTGTCTCTATCTCTCTCTCTCTCTCTCTCTCCATCTGCGTATGTATGTCTACATGTGTATGTTTGTCTGTCTGTATGCATAGCAGGAGAGACGCAGACTGACTCTGTGCGTGGAGCATGTGTGCACGGGCATGTGCTTGTACACACACACATAGATGTACACATACATATGTGTGTATGCAAGTAGAAATGAATATAGACAAAAATTATGGACGTCAAGAAGTGTGTGTATGTAGTTCATGCTCATTTATTTTTATTCATTTAATTATGGGTGGGGTGGTTTTGGACCTGCACAACTTCCTCCTGTTCTTTATGCTTGGTGAGGATGTTCATAATGATAATGTCTATCATGCTATATGGCTATGATTCCTGATGCAGCTTGACAGCTGTTGCGATAGCAAAGCAATTGCTAGCCGCGGAATTGAACAGTTAGTGCAGCATGTGTTCAATGTGCCACTTCTGCCGCCCAGCTGGGCATGAATTTAACGTATTTGCATTCCTTTGTTGTTTCTGGACTCCGAGCATGAAGTGCTCCATCTCACGCATGTTAGGGCCAGGGTTTATGATACACCTTGTTGCCCTGTTGGCGCGTCTCATCCGATGATGGATATCGGGAGCAATATCAATATTTCCGGGCAAACTGCAATGACAGAGCTCAGATCGGCGGGTTTACGTGGAGTCCTTCCTGTTTTCTGCAACCCGTCCCGAGCATGAAACCAAAGCCGCTCCAATCCTCGAGACTCCTCGATACGGTTCAAGTCCAAGTGTGAAGTTTAGTTTAGTTCCAGACGAACAGCTCCTGGCGCGCAGGCGCCGTCACCCTCAGATGAAGAGCATCTCGGCTGAACTTATTATGAACCTCTGCTTACTCACCGGGAAGCCGGCTCATGCCTTCTTGACTTCGTGACAGGAGCGGCGGCCCCTCTCAGCACCCAGGACCTAGGAATCATTCATCTTTGGCCGCGCCAAGGCAACACCAAGCTGCCTCCGAGCTTTGGCAAAAACCCGGCTGGAAGCCCAGAGCAGACTGCACGCTTCAGGGTTCCTTTGTTGTGTGGGGACGGGTCCCCCCAGATACCTGTTGTGTTTTTGGGGCTCTAGATCGGGAATTCAGACAGCGTTTAGAAGTGGGACTCTGGCTTCGGATATAAGGTCTTGTGTCGAAGGACGACCTGGCTTTGAAGTAGCATGTCGGCTTTTTACGAACACGAGGACGTCTTTGATTTTTACCTGCGATCACTGCGATTGCCAGGGGTCCCGGATGGTTGATAAAGAGGTGAACTTAGCCAGCAATAGCACCGGAAAGATGCAAGACTTTGTTCCACGAGATCTTTGAATTCGATTCCTTGCCCAAGTTTATCTTAATCAGATAGTCCAGAGTGTCCACTGCAAGAGATCCTGCGGCCCCCGGATTTCGGCTTTGCTGGAGATTCCGCAGGTTGAGATACCTGTAATAAAACTTTCCCCAGAACTCGGAGAATCTCACGCGTACGTTAGTGCGCGCTGCATGTGGAATTCCTTGTGCCCTGAGCGACAAAGATAATGATGATGACCATTATGACAACGATAGTGATGAAGGCGGTGATGTCTCCGGGCTGTGGAGGTCATTGACTTCGTCGAACTGTTTGTTTTACTGCGACTTCGTTCCCCTGCATTATCGTTGAGCTTTCTTTGTTCCTTCCGTTCTGTAAGAGCCCTGATGGCATGCAAACTGCGGAGGCTGGCTCCGCCTGGACAACACCCAGCAAGTCAAGTAACTCGGCTCACAGCATTCGAGCCGATCCGTTTCGAGTTTTTTTAACTCTTCGCATTGCTACCGAAAGCATGGCAAACTGCTTTCTGAGCTCTCCTCATTGGGCACCGGCGCCCGGACATGCAACAGTACGTCGGGGCTTGGTATACTGCCCTCCAAAAGCAGTATCGGCCTACTCACGCTTGGCAGTCCATGCATTCGTTTTATAATCAATATTGACGACGGCACTGTAAGGCACCCAGCCCTCTACCACCACCATCATTATCATCGTCATCAACCGCAGCATTTTTATGATGTTTTTCAGCACCCCGTGCCGCAGCATCTGCATCCATTTGCTGCGAGATAGAACACTAGAAACTTGCAGTCGCAGCCAACAATCGGACGTGCCCTATCCCGAAGTCATCTGAACAGCACATGTGAGAGGGGAGACCTGCGGCGCTTGCTATTTGCTTTCGGTGGATGTATTGACGTGTTCTTCGGTTTCCGTCTTATTTCAGACTGATGCAAAGAGCTCTAGATTTTTTGCCTGGAGTCTCCCCAGCCATCAATGGCAACCGCAAGGACTGCCGAACTTGGCAGAGGCCAACCTCAGGCGGAGGACCTAGCGGACCTAGCAGGGCTGTTGGGATTGAGGGTGAACTCCAAGAGGCTCAAAGCTAGCACGGCTTGGACTCTGAATCTGCTGGAGTCCTTCTTCCCAAGTTTATCAACAAGCCCTCGTGCCTTATCGTTGGGTCTCAGCCTTTCTCTTTCTCAGCCCTTCTGCTTTGCTGGCTTTCGGCTCAAGCGGCAGGGCGTGCCCTGTAATTAGCATTTTACTCCTGACTCTAACTCTGTTACCGCCAATCAGCTCGTGTTCAGCAGACATGGTAGCCAGACTCTTGGCCTCCTCTTGAGCACTGTGCGCTTTGTGAAAGGAGATCAACAAGACTTACCCCGTTCCCTGCCGGAAGTGTGTATGAAGGCGATGATGGTGCTGGAATTGGTTTTCTCCTGGTAGAGTGCAAATACTTTCAAGTTTGTCTTCAAGGTCGGCCAGCTTCAGGAGTTAAGCAGGTGAAAATGGAGGTTTGACTGAACTTGCAGAAATGCATTGGGCACCCGTAGGATAGAGAGAAAAGAGAGGGAATATCAGATTTTCTGATGAGGTTTCTGATTCCCGAAGCCGCCATCCCGGAATCGCCCAGGAAAGCTGCGCGGAGTGGTTTTTTCACTGGTGCTTGCAGCATACACGGCCTACACGACCTCGGCCTCGGGAGAGGCAAGCAAGAATAATCTCCTCGATGGTATTGCCTCCTCCTCAGGCTCGCTTCTGTTTGTTTGTTTGTGTGTCTGTCTGTCGGTCGGTCGGTCGGTCGGTCTGTCTGTCTGTCCCTCTCTCTCTCTCGCTCGCTTCCCTCTCGATTGACCTCGTCATCGTTTCGCACGGAAGTCTGCGTGAAAACAGATCTGGGGCTTGGGTGGATGTCTTCCAGCTAGGCCAGGAGAGACAGCGCAACACTGCCAGCTTCCGATAGAAACACCGGATAGCTTGAAGGCCCGATCGAGACTGCAGCCAGACACCGCTCCAAAGAGGCCTGCGCGACGCCAGAGTCACCGGTAAGCTCCTCGCTGCTGCAGCCTGCGGCCGGACGCCATGGGAGGCAGCGCAGGAATCGCTTCTGTGTTTTGCTTCTGAGTCGGGTTCATGAAGGACCGTGGTCTCGGGATGTACAGGTGCTGCAGACAAGCCCTCAGCCAGAAGGGGCGCGCATGAAATTCAGTTGCGATGGAAGTTTACCTCTTGGCCCGGAAGATGTTCTTTGAGTCGGATACGCAGGTCCCCTCGCTCTATGCCTCAAAAACCGCCAATGCTGTCACACAACGGTATAGGCAACCAGAGTGGCAACCAGTCCCACCGCCGACGGCAGAGCCACCTGGCTCCACAGCTTTGCAAGGTTTGCTGTTAGTGCTTTCCTCCTTGCAAGTTGCTTGTGTTCTCCCGTCTTCTAGAGCAGATCATGGCTGGACAGTGTTTGAACGATTGTTTCATGTGGAGTTCCAAGGCCACAACATATTCGTTGCAAGGCCTCGTCTTCGGACTTGTTTCTCATCAGCTCGATGTCATGTCCCCTGGTTTCCGTCTCTCGCCGTGAACCCTGATCAAGACCAAAGGCCCTCTAGCCACAACTTTGCCGCAGCTGAGATCAGGTCTGGACCCCTCTCAGCTGAGCGCGCTCAAGCCGCAGCAAGCGAGGCGGCATCGAGCACGACTGAAGAAGCCGCCTAGCAGCAGCGCTCAGAAAATCTCATTTGCAAAGAGGCCAGAGGTGATGCGGGGTTGAGTCGGATGATGGTTGAAAGCGGTTAAGGAAGTTAGGGTCGGAGCCCAATGTTCAGCGCCGCTGTCCGAAGTCCATTTCAGTCGTCCTTGCTTGTTTCAGTCAAGCAGGCGGGTGCCGGGCGATGTTGGTGTGCTAGGTCAAGAGTTAGTGAGCAACTGGCAAGACGTTTCTTCACCCGCCGCAGAGGCAGGGATTGGTTCTGCTAAGTCCGGGGCTGCAGCTCAGATGCTGTTCGTCTGGACCTAAGCCAACATGCAATATATCATAACATATCTACTGTTGGCCAAGATCGGGACGACCTTCCTCTCAAACGGCACTGTGGCGCCCGTGACATGGACGACCACCGAGGCGGCAGAGGGGGACTTGGGCTGGGGTGAAATTTAGGCTTTGGCCCCAAAAGGTCCTGGGTACTGTTATAGGGGATACTTTCCCAAATCATAAAAACTATTGTGAATATATAGAAACCCTACATTCTACCATCTAGGTACATTGGACCGTTTTTGGAGGGCCTGTTATTGGAACTGCCTGGGGCCTAACAAAAGCCTTTCCTCCGTCACAACCCACCAGGCGCAGAAGTCCGGTTCCACCCGGCTCTACCCACTTTTGCTGACTCCACTGGCGGCTGCAGCGGCGATGTGAGTCAGCACGGTGGGGCCTGTGGCAGTGATAGTGTAGAATCTAACCGAATCTAACCCATTCTGGGATCCGACCAGGCTTTCCCTTGTGGAAACTTGAGCTTTGCGGAAGATTCGCAGCCGCCTGTTGTAATACCATGTGCTTGCACAATCCCGTTTCCAGAAAGAAGTAAAGAGTTGTCACAACCAAAAACACGGGTCAGGAAACATGCACGAGATGTTGCGAAAGTGCACGGATATAGTTCTCCCCATCTCCTGCTTTCGTAGTTGCATTGAGGGGTGGCTTGTCCGTTGCAGTGCATGTATTCATGTGATCTCTCTCTCTCTCTCTGTCCCCCTCCCTGTATACATACATGTGTTCGTCATAATGGAAGCATGCATGCACCTAGGACAATCATTAAGAGTGCCCTGGTTTCAGATCCCTTTTATGGGAAGAGGGTCTAGATTGATTGTGTCTTTATAAACTCCAGTTCCGCTTCAGTGTTGCAGACTTGCCGAAAGTGCAGATCGCCATCGCAAGGTTCCAAGCCCACCATTTTCTGAATGGGAGTTTCTGGAAATAAGGGATAATGTGCCCCTTCGCAATGTTATCTTTAGAAAAAGCATAAAGTAAGACTCAGGTGGCTGCATGCGTGGTAATGAGACATTTGCTATCATAGGTTAGCGAAGCTGCTCATCCAGGATGTCCTTATGCGCACGAATACGTGCACACAGATTCATGCTTACATATACAACAGTTACGTACATACATACCTGCACACATACATACATACATACATACATACAGACATGCACAGACATGCACATACATGCACATACATGCGTACATGCATACTGCATACAGGCATACATGCATTACCCTCCAGACATACACATTTGCACTTTCATATACATAGTATACATGCAACATACGGGTTTACAATTACATCTTCATACAAGTCTGCATACAAGCACATACACGTCGAGCATGCATGCATGCATGCATGCATGCATGCATCGCATACAATACTCGTAGCAGAACGTAGCCAAGCATATCATAACATAACATACGCAACATGGCACAATGCAACACACAGTATACTATATCATAACATAAGCTCAGCACAACATAGCATAGCATAGCATAGCATAGCATTTCAACAACACACAAAACCCCCTGCACCTGCAAGTCACTGCAAATCGGAGCAGTGTTCGGTGCTACGCAGCTTCCGAGTGACTTGCCACTGCAACCGGCCAATCTGTCCGGACTCAATAAACGGCTGTGTTCTTTAGTAAGGCTCATTCCCATCTCCGCCCTCACCGCAGCGTTCTGAAGCGAAAACTTTAATTTCCAGCTTTCGGTACCGAGTGGCACTAGCGCTCAGCGTCAGTGCAACATGCGGCTTGGCCTTTTTAGAGGTCCGGGCCGAGGGTTTTGACAATAAAAATGTGGTTGCAGATGCATATCAATCATTTGGGCGGCGCTAATTGGCCCTCACGCATTGCCTAGCGCTGCTAGACCCTCTGGATGCAACGGCAGAGACAGAGAGAGCGAGAGAGAGACAGCTGCATATCTACGTACCTGCCTTCCTACCTATTTACCGACCTACCTACCTACCTACCTACCTACCTACCTACCGACCGATCTACCGACCTACCGACCTACCGACCTACCTACCTACCAACCTACCGACCTACCGACCTACCGGCCTACCGGCCTACCGACCTACCGACCTACCTTCCTACCGACCTGCCGACCGACCGACCACATACCTACCTCCCTACACACACACACATATATATATATATACAGATATGTACATATATATACATATATATATATATATACATACACACACACTTTTATACATACGTACTTACTTGCATGCATGGCCATCTTCGGCCTGAGCTGCATGCGGCGGTGGGTGTCAAGCGGGTATCAGGTGCACCTGCGCAGGTCTCATTTTAGTTGTCTGATTGTGCAGGGGCTCGTTAATTCGATCCTCTCGATTCTTTCAAGGGAAATCCCACTCAAGGGAGAAAGGAGGCGTCAGAAAAGCCCCTTGACAGTTTAAGGACCGCCTTTGGGATGCTTCGCGCTTTCGCTGCCGCAGTCCTCGTGGCCACGGTCAGCTCTTCCGAGGCCTTCGAGCGTTTCCAGATCTTGGTTTGGAATTGGGGATTCGGACCAGGATTTAGAGCATTAAGGGTTCAATGTAGTGTCTGGAGGCTTAGGGTTTAAGAGTTTAGGGGTTTAGGGAGGAGGCCTGGCTGCAAAAGGGCTTTAAGGTTTTTTTGGTGGGTTTCAAGCCAAAAGTGTCAGGGATCCGTCAATCGACTCTGTCAGAAGCAACCGTGGATGTTCCGATGCGTTGGAGTCTACACTCGCTGTCGGTCAGCTTGATGCGCTAATCATAACCTGGTCGTTTGACAAGTTGGATGAGGGCATGCCCGACGAAGATTGGCGTTGTAGCTTGTTTGGCGAGTCGTCGACAGCATTCCACAGCCATCGCCTGTCCCGAAGCCTGAATGATAATTCTTTCGAGGCCTCCTTGTAGGGAAGGAATGCCCAGTTCCCCACCAAAGCTTGGTTGGTTGCCGCGGTTGCCTATCGGACCTCTTTCAGCTGTGATTCTGGCCATGAGCCCTTCTGGGCCCTTCTCATCCACGCAGCCTTCACTCCAGACCAGTGTTGCAACATGAAGCAGATGCTTAGACGGCACTCGCCGAGGAAAAGCTGCAGGGGCCCCTCCTAATATGACCCTATACACCCTGAGAGGTCGGCACGGAGGCTTGCGAGATGCCATCGGCGCCTTTGGCCGCCTCCCTGCTCCAGCCACAGGCGATTTCCCACGGTGCTGGAGGCCTCTGCCCTGAGGGCATCGGAGGGCCTTCCGATCCTACTGACATGACCAGCTCAGGCGAAGACAGTACTTGCAGCATGCGTAAGTGGTATCCTGCTAGCTGCCCGCGCTGGGACAGTGTAGCCACATGGAGGTGCACGTGGTGCCGAACTACCATCGGATGAGATAGGACCCCATGACCCATGAAATGCCCGGTCAAGCCACAGTATCAAGAAGACAGAGGAGCAGAAGAAGCAGCAAAACGGTAAAAAGCTCAGCGTTTCCCTTAACTTATCTCTATCCGTGCACGTCCATGCTCAAGTTCAGAACCCTCTGGAGTCCTAGATGCACCACCGCTGAAACAGCTTACCATAAACATGTGAGTAGTTTTCTACATTAGGGCCCCTTCTTAGGTCCCAATATAGTACGGCACCCTTATAAAAAAAGGACCCCCGAAAGGGACCCTCATAGCCCCAAAAATAGAAAACTACCCATGTGGCATGGCAGGCAAGCAGATCCCACCGCCCACCGAGCCGTCGAGCCCACTTTCGCCGGAGAGAGCTGAGACAACTCTTGCACCCACGACGGTGCCGGCACCGGGGCAGGAAAATTTCGCTTGAGAGTCTAGGATACTTGAGGACTTTAGGATTCAAGGCACTTTAAGAGGCTTGGACAGAGTTTGGCTACTGTTTCATTCGGGCGGAGTTGGTGTGTCGCCTGCTGCTGCTTACCCTGACAGCTCAGGCCACAACAGCAGAGCCACACGAGAAGGAGAAGTCTGCGTGTTTCCAGCTGCATCCCGACGGCAGCAAGACAAATGGCCTAGGCACGTCATCCGTTACTCAATCTGGCCCCACGTCCGCCCCGGTCTCAGGGCTCTGCTGTTTTACCCCCGGGAACCTGGAACAGCCCTACACTGCTTGAAGCTACGTTCGCGTGCCGGCACCATGGAATCTCTTTCGCAGGTCGCCACTGGTCCTGGCTTTGCCGCTTGCTGCGCTGCCGATGCTGTAGGGTACGAAGTGGTAGAAGCAGATGTAGCAAACAGATTTCACATGTCATCTCTGCATAAGTTATCACGCAAATGAATAAGATGTAAAGGAACTTCGGATTAGGTGCAAAAGTGGAGCACTTTGCCATGAGCAAGCGATGGAATCAAAAAGCCAGACCGTTGCCAAACGCTTGCGATCCATGCTTGCAGCAGTACTGAGGTCATACAGGGCTAGAAAGCCATGTTGCAGTCTCGCTCCTACTTATGGTTCTGGCTGGATGTATCCTCCATGGACTTCAAGTCAAACATCCATGATTCAGGATTCTCAGATTGCGTCCGACGAATTGGAGGGAAGCTTCTGAGTTGTCCCATTTCCAGCAGCGCGAGAGGAATGTCCCTTCTCGGTGTGCCACCGCCGCCAGACTCGTAGAAACGCCGGAGGCACCCGGAATGGGATTGGGCTTCAATCCCGAATGTTCGTGGGATGGATCGAGACTGGAGCTTGAGAAATCAAAACAACCGGACACACACACACACACCCAAACCCTGGACCAAAGCTGGGCAGATGTAATCTTATGAGTGGATGGCAAATTGTGGGCACCCCACATTTGCTTGGATAGGACAGCACTCATCGGAGTGGGATTGGCAGCAGAATACACTAGGGTTCGAAGTCGACCGGCTACTGCGTCTTCAGGGTCGTGGCAGTTGACCATGTTGACACGAAGGCTTAGTTTTCCGTTGGCGTCATGATTTTTGATAGTTGTGATGATGACTCCTATGTCTATCATCATCGTCGTTATAGCAGTCAGGTATCTCTACCACGATGAATGCCAGTATCAGCGCTGTGGGGTTTTGTTCTCATGTGGGCATGGCTGACAGGTCATTCCGAGCATTCCCCCCATGGGCCGCCGTGGGCTCAGAGAAATCCTCCGGCTTGGGGTATTGAAGATGTAAATTGTTGCAACACCCGCAGCAGCCCACGAGACATCACATGCAGCTTGTAACAGATAAACAGCCCAAGTCTCCCGTCACAGATTTCTTACATGGAGTTGGCGAGGGACTTTTGGATCGCCAGGAGCAGGAGAAGAACCCTGGACCGCTTCCCTGCACGGACCGAAACGAAAGCCCGGAAGCCAAGAGCACAGCCCAAGGAAGCCAGAGCACTTCGCACCTGGAGGCACAATGCTCCTTCGGATGTTGCCGTTTGGGTAGTACGAGCTGTTCCAATCAGCCAGTCTTGCAGCTCGCCATATCAAAACCTGCCTCATAGAGGCATGAAGCTCAGCACCCGAACTTTCAGGGTGTGGCTGTTGGGGACATATTGCAGGCTGGTGCCCTGTACGCGCGAGATTGACTCAGCACCACTGCCACCACGGTTGCCATCGGCATCGCCATCAGCATCACTAGCAAGAGCACAGTCGCGATTTGCATTGCCATCCTGGAACCCTTGTCGTCAGTTTCGTTATAATCCGCATGTTGATACTAGCCATTCGTATCGTCAAGGCTCCATCATCATCATCATCATCATCATCTCCAGCTTCGCTGATTGGCATCCCCGCCACGCAAGCCACAAGTGCGGCATGGCGGAAGTCATCATCATGTTCCTGACCTTATCACACAGCAGGCAAGATCAACGCGGAGATTTCCAAACCTGCAAAATGTCTGTGTGCGCTCTCCTAGCTGTGCTCCGCAAAATCCCATCCACACTCTAGAAACCAAATCTTCATCGCACTTGCCTATGAAGCCCCCAACTACTTAGTGCCATTCTTAGATTCTCTATTTGCTGGGATGCCCCGTGTGTTCCACAATTCCCATTTCTCGACCTGGTACATGATTGTTTTTGATCCGCGATTTGGGCTTCTTCTCCCCCATCGAACATCGCGGGGAAATGCTGTACTGTAGCTGCATGTTTTCACGATGCTCGTGACACCCTCCTGTCAAAATACACATGCGATTCCTTTTACGATCTGCTTAAGAATCTGTCAGGGTATCTTCTCATCCCAAGTTCGGCGACCGATATATCTCACCTGTCTTCTGAAAAGATTCGACATGTGCATTTGCATACATACATGCATGCATGCTTACATATACATATATATATATATACACACACATACAAGCATGCATGCCTGCATGCCCTGCGTACATACACATTTGGCTAATGGTTCCTTTTTATATTTTCAGGCAGGTAGATAGACATAGACGTGGACATAGACATAGATAGGTAGGTAGAGAGGTAGGCGGATCGATAGCTAGATAGATAGATCGATAGATCGAGGTAGACAGCGAGATAGATGGATAGATAGGTACGTAGGTAGGTAGGTAGGTAGGTAGGTAGGTAGGTAGGTAGCTACGTAGGTAGGCAGGTATGTAGGTAGATAGGCATGTAGCTAGGTAGGTAGATAGGTAGATAGATAGAAAGACAGGCAGATAGAAAGATAGAGAGACACATACACGGATGGCCACATACACAGATAAAGATAGATTGAAAGGAAGTCGAGCAAGAGAAGCTGACGTTCCATCGACCGGGACAGGACGTCGCCGGCGTGATGCGAAGCCAGCTTGCGGTCTCGCCGGAGCTTCGCAGCTCGGCGGCTTTGATGTAGGGTGTTTTGGCTCAGGAATTGCAAATCCGCGCATAGTGATGACCTGTTATGACCTTTTTTTCTGAACGGCTCCTGTTGGTTTCTACCAGTTTTTCGGCCTGAAACAGGTACATTTCCGTTATGGGCTTTTGTTGTGGGCAGTGTGGTTAGCATGCAAGGCCCAGGTTCTGCAGTCTGCAGGAATCAGCCTTCCCTAGGCCAAATGCGTATTGATGTTGCGCACCTGGCTTCTCGAAAACTTGTTGACAGGTACCGCAGTCTGGTTTGTTCTAAACGGGGTCCCGGGTGATCGGACCATGGAAGGGCAAGCATTCCGCAACTGATGCACAGATGCTTTTTCCGACCGCTGAACTTGAGCCAGGCCCTACAAGCAAGCAGTACTTCCAGGAAGACGGAACTCGGTTCAAGCGGTGGCCGAAGGAGGCCAGGGCCAGGGGCTGGATTAAGGGGGACCCCCGGGATTTCCTGAGTCCCATACACCCTACGCCCCCTAAAGGCAAGCGACCGTCAGTGCCAAGACGTCAGCTCTTAGGAGCGAAGTCCTTGCATCATTCCCCGCTGGAGCATTCTGGGGTATTCTCGGACGTGCAGCTTATAATAGTTTACCCATTAGACAACGCACATAGAACACCTCCTTACCTCTATAGCCCTGGCATCCATCTTTCAGGATCAAGCATGAATCCCGCAGCCACAAGCGCGGAAGTCCCAGACCCTGTTCAGGCCATGGGCCGCAACCCTATTGCGAAGGCCCGGCGATGAAGTCAAGATCGATTTCTGATGTTTGGGGGATGTTTGTGTTAGGTTCCGGGCTGCGGATGGTGTTTCCGCATTTTTCTGGCTCCAATTTAGCCGAAGTTAGCCTTAGCGAACTGGATACCATCCCCAGAACCCCTCCGCAATCGAGTCAGGGCATGGCACCACGTGGTAATGCAGGTTGCCCGATCCGGGTTACCTTTTGTAGCCAGCATTACGAAGCGACAGGCTCTCAATTCTGGAACAAGCTAAACGCAAGTCCAGCAAGCCGAAGCCTCAACTTCAAGCCCCCGCCCCCCTGACCCAAGAAGGCGACCCTTAGCTCACAGCAGTTAGCCCCTTTAAAGCCCTAAATGCTGAAGCAAAGTGCCTCTGGATCCGAACGCCCCTAAACAGCCGATTAACGACACCATCCTTAAACATCCTGCCTACACCAACTAGAAAGACAAAAAACACGCAATATAAGAACACTACTACTACTAATAATAATAATAATCGTAATAATTACAAGAAGAAGAATGTTTTGACAAGAATATTAACTAATAGTGACAATCCGAATAAGAACAATAATATAGTAAGCTTTAGTTTTGTTCTTATTTCCTCAAAGCAGCAGGTCTGGGATGAGTCGGGTCGACCCATCCCCGTCAGGTCCTCGGGTGCTGTGCTAGGGAGCCTCGTGTTCGGGGAGTGCTTCTGACGGAGCGATTATTTGGGTTTAGGGATTTAGGGTTTATTATTCAGTTCCAGGGATCTCAGCAATGAGGACAAACATTCATCATACACCTTTAGTGAAGTGCCTATATAATTTTGTGGCGGATGAAGAGTTTGGGGTTAGGGTTGAGCGGATTCGGGCGCTCGCGGAGTAAGCTTAATCAATTCATCGTACCTGGGGTAAGGAAATTAGCCGCTTCTTCAGAATTGCCTCAGAGATCCACTTTGCCGGAGTGCAGTGGGGTGTGATTGATTGGTTTTTGATTCTGATTGGCCGCTGCAACAAATCACCACCACTGCAGCTGTCGTGCGAACATGTGCTTGTGGGTAGTATATTTGGTTCAGACAAACATCACCAACTGTTAGTATGTTTGCGCCTGTAAACATGATCGTCTTTCTTCTTGTTTGCATTCGTGGTACGATGGATTACGACAATGCGCTCTGTCCCGAAACCCTATCACTACACCCCGCAACTCTAATGCTATGCTGACCATTCCTTCAGAAATATACTGTAGATTATATCCCCTCAAGAACAGTTTTACTTGATTAACCCCTGTACATCATTGTGTGTGTACGTTATTTGCCCTGAGGCCGAGGTCGTCGCTGTGAGGCCCCGCAGGGCAGAGTCTCCGGCAAACGAGGCTGGGCAGCCCCAGGAAGCCATTGCTGGTACAGGGCCTAGGGCTTGAGGGTTCGAGGGTTTATGGCTTTGGGAGTTCAACCCGAAGCCATTTTAGCAGGTTGTTATTTTATTGGGTTGTGTTGTGGACTCATACATCAGTTGTTTCAGAGTCAGCAGACCTCGAACCACGTGCCTCGCTTGCATTGTCCGAGTGTGAGCACCGAAACCCACAAACAGCTGAGTGCTGGATGTGTTCAGAGAGATCCAGTGATGCCTGTGCTGGGTGAGGGCAATCAAAGCCGTGAACACAGGGCAATAGAGAGAGGGAGAG